GGGTTTTCAATGCGTTTCAGTGGGATTTTTTCATTTCGTTTGACAATGTTTTCGCTCTACAGCGATTTCGCTGGAACGAATTAACATCATCAAGCGAGGCACCACTGTAAATGCTCTTTCCTCCTGGGAACTTAAGCAGTGTTTGTCCCAGTGTGTAAAGGTGACAGCTGCTGCCCTCCCCTGCCTCCTCTGGCTCAATCAGCCACTCACCAGGCCCAGCCTCCATGATCTTCCACTGATCTTCCAGTCTCGGCAAGAGCTGAGGCTTCTCTGAAGTGGTGACTGGGAGATTAGCCCAGGAGGTGGAGAAAGCAAAAAGTTGGGCCTGGGGAGTGACTCGATTGGTGGGGGAGAGGGAGCGGCAGCACCTGTTAACTGCTGCCTTGACAGAGTGGGATGAACCAGTTCGTGCCCATCTCTAAAAACAAGCTTTTTCCCACAAATGAAAAAAAATGGGTGGGTGGGTTCCAAGCCAGGGGTCGACTCCGAATCATTGAAAAACAAAAATCCCAGAGGCATGTCCCAAGTCCAAGGTCAGGCTAAAAGACAGTAGTTGGCCCAAGGTCACTTGATGAGTTTCATAGGTCAGTGGTGACTAACCTACATCTCCCAAGTTCTACCACTCACACCCCACTGGTTGCTTGACCGCCTGCCTGTACAACATCTATGACTTCTGAGAGAATATCTTCCCAGACTACAGCAAGAGAGGCTTAATTATTTCTGCTTGGTATTGTCCGCCGATCCTTATTAGCAGTTAGCTTCTTCCCCAGTTTCTGTCTTCTTCGTGTCACTAGCAAATGCACAGATAATCCATGTTCGAAACACAGCTCACAGGGAGGTTATTTTTACTTAACTGCAGGTGCTTGAAAGATATCTGAATTAAAAAAGCACTAAATTGCTTCTTGCTCCACATTGCAGGGCAGAGAGGGAGGAATCAAAAAGCCATCAACTCCACAGGTACAAAATCCTCCCTTTCTTTCTTAGTCTTTCTCCTGCAAGGAAAAAAAATGTAATGTGGGCTGCTTATTTACCACCCCATAGTGCTGAAAGCACTCCCTGAGCTGTTTATAAAATAATTCTGCAGGCTACACATTACCCCCTCAATCCAGCAAGCTGGGTACTCAGTTTGCTTACCTTGGAAGGATGGAAGGTTGCGTCAATCTCAAGCCGTCTACCAGGGCCTGGGACCAAACTCAGGTCACAAGCAGAGTCTTCACTGCAGTGCTGCAGTTTAACCACTGCACCATGAAAAACTGTCATGATGTTTCTGAATTGTGTTGGAAGTGGTGATATGTTGGAAGCTGTGGATCAGATGAGAGGCACTGGAAACTTGTCCATTGAACAGGGGGTGTCTGATTTACCCTATATAATGAGGGTGATTGCCCTTGCCTGGGTCCCATAAACTACCCATGTTTGAACTTCACAATAAACCAAGAATTGTTGGTTGTTGTAGGTTTTTCGAGCTGTTTGGCCATGTTCTGAAGGTTGTTCTTCCTAACATTTTGCCAGACTCCATGCCCGGCATCTTCAGAGGACAGGAGTCAGAACTCTGTCTGTGCTCTGGTGCAGTTTGTGGGACAGTTGAGTATTTATAGCTGTGGGATCAGCTTTTTGTCCTTTTCAGGAGAGTGTGTGATTATGGTGATCACGGTGTTTTTTTGTTGTGGGTGTATTGTTGAGATAAGGGAGAGAGATGATCTGTTCCTGTGGTTGATGGGTGTCATTAGCTGGTCTTTTGTGTGCAGTGATCACTGGTCCTTGTGGCTGGGTAGAGTTCATTGACCATTTGTAGGCTGTATTTTTCAGTGCTGGGAGCCAGGCTTTGTTGGGTTGTAAACCAAGAATTGCCATTATAGAGGCAAGCTGAGGTGACAGATGGACCCATGTCTTCCTCTTCTCCCCTTTTTCTTTTCTCCCTCCACTATTCCCCTGAGCAAATTTTAAAAAGCTGGAGGGGGGGCTTTTTAAAAATTAACTGCAGGTTTACACAAAATATTTTCTCTTTCCACCACCCATTTTTTAAGAAACCAGACATTCCTATTTCCCCCTGCCCCATCCAATATATGAGGAAATTTGCAACTTTCAGGGATGTTCTGGATAGAACATTTCTTTTTCCTTGAAATACTAAACGATGTACTTACCTTACCAGTATTTTTCCTGACATCAATATGATGTTGCAGAGTTTTGAATTTTGGTTAAAACTCCTCTACCTGTGCAGCAGTAGTGCATGGACCTACAGAGGAGAATTAGCTTCAAGTTTCTGCAGAGCAGGCCACCCCTTTTTACTCATCAACTGACACTTACAGTCTTGACAACTCACTCTGAGACATTGGTAAAAGAAAGAATAAAAGGTTTCATTTACTCACAGTCGAACAGATCAAAAACAGCACACTGTACAAAAATGACTGCTCTGAGCAACAGATATCAACAGTCTCACTGACTGCTTCCAGCAGATTCCTGAAGACTACACTGTAACTGCACACTAACTGCAAAACAGACTAAAAGAGAAGGGAAAAGCACTTAAGCAAAGACACATGGCTGTCTTTAAAATCAGAAGGAACAGTTGGTTACTGCTGGATTGCCTGACAGTCACCTCAGCCCAGAAAGGTCCCTCTCACAGTCAGACCTACTAAAGGCAGCATACGAGGCTGAAAGAACCCCAACAGATGATGTTTCTGTTATCTTACTTCACCCACTGTTTATTTCCTGTAATTTTCAGCCTCTTTCCGTCCCTTCTGAATGCATGGTTTATTTCCAGCATTGCTTGGTCGTGAGGTTAGAGTCTGATCTGCATTTCTTATTTGCTGAGAGGCTCTGATCAGAAGCTTTAAATCAGCATGCAGGACTTTTTTAAAAAAAAAACAGAGAGAGATGACTTTCTTAAATATTTTTTTAAAAAGAGAGGACTAGCTTTCTTACTGAGCTTTCTTAAATTAGAAAAGCAGTGAGTTTTCCTAAAGAGAAGTCTGGATGCAAAGGCCAGCAAGCTGCACACTGTTTCTGACATATGACCACGCCATGCATTAAAGACCTCTGAAAGGTCCATCATGATCAGATTAGTGCAGGCACTAACAGTACTTTAAAGTTCACGTTTTACCATCACACCAACATTCTTTCCCTCCTCCTCAAGTCATCAACAGGAAACAGAACAGATGACAAACAGAAATCATCATCATGGTCATTCATGGTCATAATCAGGTTCCAGCCCTCCTACCTTTCAACTTCAGATGACCCTACTTTCCAGTATTGTGACAGAGGAGAA